GTAATTTTTGCGTAGTTTCTGCTTGACTTTCAAGTTTCAAGGGGGCGTCCCTCTACAGGAGGAATATGCAAATATTCTCTCACTCTTGAAGAAGTATTATTGTTGATCCCCCCTCACCGGTGCACATTGATTTTTTCAATTGAAGTGCCCCCCCGGGGCTCGCACCTTGTTTTTTGTCAAAGAAAGTCTTCCTGCTCAAACTGGCCCCCTGCCCCCCGGACTACAACAACAACGGCTCCCGCTTGAGACGTCCTAACAATTTAGCCAGGACCTCGCTCCCGCCCGAGACTTCTCGCATTTTATTCAGGAATCGCGCTCTCGCTTGGGACTTCCTTGCAATTTATTTAGGAATCGCTCTCCCGGCGCTCTGGAGTCGCGCTCTCGCTGGAGACTTGCTTGCAATTTACCATAGAATAGCGCCCTTGCGTTGGACTTTCTTGCAATTTACTCAAGCGCCGCGCTCCCGACACCCAGGCATCCAGGAGTTGCGCTCACGCTTAGGATTCCCTCACAGATTACCTAGGATCTCGCTGCCCTTCGTGACCCCGTTGCAGCCCTTCGTGGCCCCCTCGCTTTGTTTCGTGGCCCCGCTGCAGCCCTTCGTGGCCCCCTCGCTGCCCTTCGTGGCCCCGTTGCAGCCCCTCGTGGCCTCCTCGCTGCCCTTCGTGGCCCCGCTGCAGCCCTTCGTGGCCCCCTCGCTTTGTTTCGTGGCCCCGTTGCAGCCCTTCGTGGCCCCCTTGCTGCCCTTCGTGGCCCCGTCGCAGCCCTTCGTGGCCCCGTTGCAGCCTTTCGTGGCCCCCTCGCTGCCCTTCGTGGCCCCGTTGCGGCCCTTCGTGGCCCCCTCGCTGCCCTTCGTGGCCCCATATATGTATGCCCCTCGTGGCCTCCGCTCGTTCGCGCCCGTGGTTGCCCCATATGCATGCCTTTCGTGGCCCCGCTGTCGCCCTTCGTGGCCCCCTCGCTGCCCTTCGTGGCCCCGTTGCTGCCCTCAGTGGCCCCGTTCTTGCCCTCCGCGGCCCAATATACTTATGCCCTTCGTGGCCCCCGCTCGTTCGCGCCGGTTTTGGCCCCATGTGCATGCCCTTTTCTGGCCCCGCTGTCGCCGTGTGTGGCCCCCTTACTGTCCTACGTGGCCCAATTGCTACCTTCAGTGGCCCCATCGTTGCCTTCTGTGGCCCCGCATTATCTGCCTTTCGTGGCCCCCGCTCGTTCGCGCTCTTCGTGGCCCCATACGCATTCCCTTCGTGTCCCCGCTGTCGCCCTTCGTGGCTTACTTCGTGTCCGTCGTGGCCCTGCTGTCGTTCTCTCTCGCTCTCGCTTTCGCTCGTCGTCGTCGCCGTCGTCGTCGTCGTCGTCGTCGTCGTCGCCGCCGTCGTCGTCGACGTCGTCGTCGTCGTCCTCGTCGTGGTCGGTCCCCTGTCCGTCCCTCTGGGGGTCGGGTCGACGGTCCGCGGCCGCCCCGCCGCCAGGCCGACGGTCCGCGGCCGCCCCGCCGCTTGCCGGGGCCCGGCCTGCAGGGAAGAAAGGTATACCCCCCAAAAGGGGCTCGATCGAAGACGGAGAGGGCGGGTATCGAGGGTTTTGGAAATACGCGTTATTGGACACTCGAGCAGATAAGGGCGAACAGTCTTAAAATGATTGCTGTTGTTGTTGTTGTTGTTGTTGTTGTTGGTGTTGTTGTCGTTGGTGTTGTTGTTGTTGTTGTTGTTGTCGTCATTTTGGCGCATTTTCGGATTATTTTTTATTTTCCAGGGGGCGTCCCTCTACAGGAGGAGTATGCAAACATTGTCCGGGCACTTTCGTTTTTTGGGGCATTTCTGCGTATGTTCCAGGACATGTCCCTCGACAGGAGGAATATTCAAACATTATCAGAGCATTTTTTTTTTTTCTTCGGGGGGGGGGGTCATGTTTGCATATTTTCTGATTCTTTTTACTTTTCCAGGACATGTCCCTCTACAGGGGGAATATTCAAACATTGTCAGAACACTTTTGTTTTTTGGATCATTTTTGCAAATTTTATGATTCGTTTTAATGTTCCAGGACATGTTCCTCTACAGGAAGAATTTGCAAGAAGTTTTTGGTTATATATATATAATCATGTTTGAACACTTGTGTAGTGTTTTGACGCGTTTCCATGTTTCTTCCACAATCCGCCTGTAGGAGGACATGCCCGACCTAAGGGTAGCGTGTCGGTGCCAGATTTTGTAAGGGCCCGACGATCACCCGGGTTACAGTCAGACCGTGGTTCTAGGCCTCCCAGAGGGGGTCTGGAGCAGATGGGGTTGGAAGGTCGCGCTGCATCGCCGATGCATCGCCGACGCGGCTCGGTGTGGAGCCCGATTTTCTTCGCGCCGGCGTCGGCGATGCATCGACGATGTGTCGTCGATGCGGCGCGACCCTTTGCCCCCATTTACTCCGACCCCATCTAGAGGGAAAGATCGAGGTCGGTTCGGGGAGGGTGCGCTAGTGTTGTTCGTGCTTGTTGGGTGCTCTGGTGCATCCTGGGGACTGTCTGTGCGCTTGCCGGCGGAGGGTCTCGTGTTCTTGAGGGACGTTCTTTTGGTCTAGGCCCCACTGTATCGGGAGCGGCGCCCGCGCATCTCGCCTGGCCTCCTCCGCTGTAGGGACCGGGTGGGCTGCGAAGCCTGCTGCACGCAGCTGGTTCTCTGGCTTCGCCGCGGGGTGGGTGCCTCCTCCCCCTCGCTCCTCCTCCTCCTCCTCCTCCTCCTCCTCCTCCTCCTCCTCCGTCTCCTCGAGGCACCCGCGCTTCTCCAGCGCCGGGAGGCGCTGGGGAGACCAGCTGCGTGAGCTGATATGCGCTACCCCCCCTCTGCTATTACCCCCCCCTTTCGGGGCTCATTTCGCTTCCTCCAGTTCGATTGGCTTCGATGTCGGCGGATGCCGATGCCGATGCGGCTCGATCTCGGATGCCGGGGTGGATTCCGATTCCTCCGCGGAGGCCCATGAGCCTGCCGATGTCTGCCGATTCGACTTCTCCCGACGCGGCCGCCGATCTCCGCCGATCCGGTTGACTTCGATCGCCGATCCTGGGCTCCCCTGCCCCTCTGCTGTGCCCCTTGCGTGAGACCCGAGAGCCCCTGGGCCGTGGCCTCCTGGGTGCGGGGTGCTCTTCCGCGCGGATGCCCCGCGCGGAGCGCGGTGTGCGACCGCGTCTCTACGGGACCGCGCCTCCAAGTCCAGACCGCGATGGCATGGGCATGGATGCGTTGGTGGCTCGTGGATCGCCGTCGCCGTCGCCGTCGGCGCCGTCGCCGCCGTTGCCGTCGCCGCCGCCGCCGCCGTCGCCGCCCGCCGATCGCCGCCGTCGCCATCGCCGCCGCTGCTGCCCGCTGCCGCCGTGGTCGTCGCCCGCTTCGAGGATCGAGGCGCGGGGATCGAGGGATCGGGGATATAGAGGCTTGCGCCGCTGACGCAGAGGCCTCCAGGGCGCTGGTGGCGCCGGAGGGTGCGCCGTTTGAGCCGCGGGCGGAGCTGGACGAGACCTGGCACCGGAGGTGGGCGTCGAGGGTCGAGGTTCGAGGGCGTTCTTGCTGGCCTCTTTGGGCGCCGCTGGAGGCCCCCGGGGGCCTTCTGAGAGAGGCCTCCGTGGACCTCCCACAGGGGATCTCGGCGGAGGCCTCGGGGATCTCTGGGGACCGGGGCCCCTGCGCGTGGATCGATGATGGAGGAGGAGTCGGCACCATCGATCCTCGCGCTTTTTACCAGGGCAAGTCTCATCCCGAAGCCGAGATCCGCCTCGGGACCTTGGTCGTGGCGCGCTCCAGGGCAGGCTCGGGGGGCGATGTCTCGATGTCTGGACAACTTGGACCTCTGGCGTCTCGAGGTCGTCACGGCTGCTGTGGTTCCTCCAAGGTTTGGGGCTCGGGGGGCCCAGCATATTCGGGCCCCCGGGGCCACCAGGAGACGACCCGCGGTGAGGAGCCTGCTTTAGGGACGAAGAGGCCGGAGCATGGGGAGACGTTCTCCTTTTCCTCCTCCCCCTCCTCCTCCCCCTCGTCCTTCTCCTCCTTCTCCTCTCCCTCCTCCTCCCCCTCCCTCTCCTCCCCCTCCTCTTCCTCCTCCTCCTCCTTCTCCTCCTCCTCCTCCTTCTCCTCCTCCTCCTCCTCCTCCTCCTCCTCCTCCTCCTTCTCCTCCCCTTCCTCCGGAGGGTTTGGACCCCTTCCACTCTCGGGGCTCAAGAGACGGGGATCAATGCAAACAGGGGTCAGCCAGAGCGCCGGATCTTGCAGGATCCTGCAGGGCCAGGTGTGCGCTGACCTGGGCTTGCGTGCAGGATGCTGCAGGATTTTGCAGGATCCTGCAAGGCCCTACTGACCCGGGCTTGCTTTGACCTGGGCCAGCAGATGCCCGACATACTCCTGCTCTCCACCTGTCGTTCCAGGGGGTTACCCACCGGAGAACCTCCCCGAACGACAAGAACGTACACTTTTGGAGGTCCGAGCGGATGGCGTGGGTTGGGGCCGGACCTCCCTAGCACACCCCTTCCGGATCGCGCCGTGATCCACGCCGGAGGTGCCGCCAGCGGTGTGGAGAGGGGGTCTGGCGCCGACCCAGAATGTCCTCTCGGACATTCGGCAGCTTGTGCTCATAGCTACGTGTTTGATGATGCAAACCCAGACCTCCCGATGCCACGATTTTTTTTCAGCGTGTGCCCCCTCAGGTCTGGATCCCTTCCCGTGGTCCGGCTTCTCATCCTGAGTAGTTTTGGAGGCCCCGCAACAAGGGCCCCAAGGCGCTAAGAGGCCTGCGTCGTCGAACAACGTGGCGTCGGAGGTCTGGCGAGGTGGGAGCTCCGGAACAAGGCGGACGTCGGCCAGCTGCGGGAGCTGTGCAGCGCGGGCCCGCTGGACGTGCTGTTGCTTGGCGACTCGATCACCGAGAAATGGCTGCGGCCCTCTTTGACAGAGCACCCGGACGGCCGCATGGAGTACACGGAGGAGGAGTCGGCGGGCGCCGAGGGTGGCCCCTGACTCTGTGGGGCAACGTCAGGGGGAGATAGAATCTGGGGGGGAATGCATCGACCCCCTGTCGACCACTGATCGCCGACAGGAGCCCCCGATAGCCCACTCCGCCCAGGCACGTGCTGTCTGGCTATCGGGGGCCTGCCGCCGGTCGGTCCGCGATGCATCGCCCCTTCCAGGGCGACGCTGCCCGCCCTGAGCAGGCCCCCCCTCGCGCTCCCCCGTCGCTGGCGACCGCCGAGACATGAGTTGTGCAGTCCGCGGCCCAGAGTTCCCGGCCGCTTCCCCGGGGGGTACGGTACGTTCGTGTCGTGTCGACCGGCGGCGACCCCGCCAGCGGCGTTCACTTTTGAGCGCCGCGGGCGACCTGGAATCCTTCGACGTGGAACGATTTGGACGTTCCGGAGACGGCCGATCGTTAAGAGCTGAACGATCCCCGCGGTGTCCGGAACCAACGCCGAAGTCGGCACGACACGAACTCGACGTAGTTCTTCTCTGGCCCTGGAGCTTTTCCGGATGGTTCCCCCAGAACGGGCCCTGGAGGCTGAAGCCGAGGAGGAGGAGGAGGAGGAGGAGGAGGAGGAGGAGAAGGAGGAGGAGGAGGAGCAGGATCAGGAGGAGGAGGAGGAGGAGGATCGAGGATCGAGGATCAAGGCTACCCCGGAGTGAACAAGAACAGCGCCGGAGGTCTGGGCTCCTGGCCCACGGTGCCCCCCGCCGTCCGCCCGATTCTGGAGCCCCCCCCCACGGGGGCCTCCAGGCCTCGCGGGGGGCGCTCTGGCGGCCACCTTGGGGCCAGGGTGAAGTCAGGCCTGCCCCTCCACAGGAGGAGTATTCGAGTACAGTCCGAAAATAGTCAGGAGGAGGAGGAGGAGGAGGAGGAGGAGGAGGAGGAGGAGGAGGAGGAGGAGGAGGAGGAGGAGGAGGGAAGGATGTGGGGGCTCGCCCCCCGACCTGTAGGCCAGGGCCACCTCCGGCAGCACCCCCCAGACCGCCTCGCGTCGCGAGAGCTTTCGGGGGTGGAGGAGGAGGAGGAGGAGGAGGAGGAGGAGGAGGAGGAGGAGGAGGAGGAGGAGGAGGAGGAACCCCCAACAGTGACAACGTCGATCAGTGAATCGTCCGTTTTCGGTTCTCGAGAGGGCGCCGTGGCCGTCATTTTCCAGGCCTGCGCCCGCCAGCTTTGGGCCTCGGGTCGCTTTCACGAAACCACCTTTTCCTAGGGGGGGGTCCGTCCATCCCCGAAGCTTGGCCCTTCGGGGCCGTCCACAGAATGACTCGGGATGCACAGCAGTTCCCGGGCGTTCGGACCTCTGGGGCTCCACGTCGTGAGCAGCTCACGGCGTCGGTGGACCCGGGGCGGCCGGGGGCCGGGGACGCCCCCCTCGGCCGGGGGCCTCCCTCGGAGAGCGGCTCGGCGTGACGAGTCCACGGGGATTTGGGTCGCCGCTCGGTTTTGGGACTCGGGCCGCTCTTCGAGGGGGTCCTGGCGGGGGGGGGGGGCTTCCATCGAAGAAGACAAAGCGCCCCGAGCATGATCTTTTGGGGGCTCCGCGCGGAGTTCTTGGCTCCGCGCTGGGCCCCCCCGGCGGCGCCTCCTGCGCCGCCCCTGGCGCGCGGAGCGCGCCGGGGAGGGGGGTCCAGCGCAGATCCAGGAACCTTCGCGCGGAGCGCCCACGGTTGATGTCTGTGCTGCTTTCTCCTCTACACCTTAGGCGATGCTTAAGAAAACTTACGTTTTCGGCCAGAGTCTCGATTATTCTTAACGTTTCGATGTGAACCCTAAGATCTTAATCGAAATGTTGGGTTTTTGTTCAAGTTCTGAGACTATGAATTTCTTAACCCGTGATTTCTTAAGCATTTCGCAGGGTGTATATGCCCGGGCCCCCACACGCCGTGGGGGGACGGAGCGCGCGCGGGGAGGCCGTGGGAGGCGTCCCGAGGGTCGCCACGCGGTCCGCCCTCCGCGCGGCGGAGGGCCCCGACACGTCTGTCGGGAGGGAAGGAAGCACACAGACACAACTCGTCGTCGACTCCCAGGAAAGTGTAGGAAAAGATGGGACGTGGGGGGAGGAAGAGGAGAAGGACGTGGAGGAGGAGGAGGAGGAGGAGGAGGAGGAGGAGGAGGAGGAGGAGGGAACGATCTGTCGATTACTTTTTGGCTGTTCTTGAGCACTTTCTGGGGCACGCCCCCCGACCTGTAGGCCAGAGCCACCTCCGGCAACACCCCCAGACCGCCTCGCGTCGCGAGAGCTTTCGGGGGATTAATCGTCGACTCCCAGGAAAATGTAGGAAAAGATGGGACGTGGGGGGGAAGACAGAAGCCCAGAAAAGATGGGGAATCCCTTTATTTGTGCGTATTTCTTTGTGTGTCCTGGGGCCCCTTCAGTCTGGCCTCGCCCGGAGGAGCTGCTGGAGCTGGGCGGGGACCTGCAGGCCGCGTTCCCCTCGCGGCGCGTCGGGGTGGCCGCCGTGGGCGGGGACAGGATCCTCGACCTGCTCTGGCGCCTCCGCGCGGGAGGCCCCCCCGGCGGCGCGCGGGGGGGCGCTGCACGGCGAGGGGGCGGTGCTCCGAGGGGAGCCCTCCTCGCCCCCCCCCCGCCCCTGCCCTGCTTCCCTCCTCCGCCTCCCTTCGGGGAAACGTAAGACTCGAGTAAGCCAGAACTCGGGTTGGCCGACTTTTTTTTGACGAGCACGTCCTGGATTTTGGCGGTCCCGTCTTCGTGGGATGTCTGCAGCGGGAGCCCGCGTCGAATTTCAGATTGGGCCTCGCCATTTTTGTGATGGCCCCCGTCAGGCCAACCCGAGTCCCCCGTACCCGAGCCTTACGTCTCCCCGGTCCCTGCCTCCTGCCTCCTGGCCGCTGCCGACACCGCTGCCCGTCCTTCGTGTCCGGCGTGTGGGGCCCCTCCTCGGGAGGCCCCCGTCGCCACGGCTGCACCCGCCTCGCAATTCTGGTTAGAGACCGCTCCCCGGGAGAGGCCGTGGGGAGTCCCAGCCATCCTTCGGTGGCTGGCCTGGGCGCCGTGTTTGGTCTCGCCCCCCGTTTTCGGCAGAGGCCGTGAGGTGGGCGTTGCCGATACTCTCATTGCTAGTTTCCTCCACTTTGTAGTTGCTGAGCCCCTGTCAGCCTCTCCTCCTCCTGCGCCTCTCTCTACAGTCACTCCTGTACAATCCACACACTTGCTCACCACACTTGTTTCTTGGGTTACCGCTTAGATCGAGACTGGCCAGCCACCTGCTCGCGCGAGTCGCAACAGGGCCAGCATCCATGAGTTCGCACCGACAACCAAGGCGCTGCAGCAGTTTTGTTCTGCAGAGCCTTTGGGTAGGCTTTGCCGACGCTTTCATCGCTACACAGCAGAAGCTTGCCGAGTGGAATCCGCGCTAGGAGGAGGGGGCCGTGTAGTGAGGTGGTGAGCAGGAACATGAGGGGCAAAATGAGGGGGGCTGGTCACGCGCTGGCGCCGTCTGGGAAGGCTTACGGATGGCTCATTCTGACGCTTCGCGTAACCCCACCAGCACATCCAGAAACGATGCCCAGGCAGGTTGCCCTGATAACGGATGTGGAGGAGCATGCAGCGGAATAAAGGGATGGGGCAGCCGCCGTACCCCAAGAGAGGGAGGATGGATCGGAGCAGGAGCAGGAGGAGGGGGGGTGGGCGGGGATGGGGGAGGGGGAGGAGGGAGGATGGAGGACGAGGAACAGGCGAATGAGGAAGAGGTGCAGGAGGAGGAGGAGGAGGAGGAGGAGGAGGAGGAGGAGGAGGAGGAAGAGGAGGAGGACCAGTGTAAACCCAAGGCTCATCAACGATGGTGAAATACACTTTCCTTCCAAGATCCCTCTTCATAGGCCCCCACGAGTGGACATTTCCACAGGGAATTTGCCCCGTTGGGGGACGACTGTGTGAACATCTTGAAGCTCGCCAAAACACAATTCTCAGGACGTCAAGGCCATAAGTTGACCTGACTGTTGCGCCTTGGCGGTCCTGAATTGCGCCAGAACGCCATTCCTGGGACTTCAACACTGCAAATCAACGTACCTGTTGCGCCCTGACAGTCCTCAAACTTTCCAAAACACCATTTCTGGTACGTGAGCCATGAGAACAAGTGACATTCTTGCACGTGTAAAAACACGAATGTGCGCGGCGCTAAGGAGAGAGCTGCATTTTGAAAACGGCCCGCCCTCAACCCGTAAAGCTTGTACAAGTATTCAGAATGGAAGTGCACTGCGCTAAGGCGAGAGCCACATTTTGAAAACGGCCCGCCCTCAATCCGTGAAGCTCTTGCAAATATTTCAAACGAAAGTGCGCGGCGCTAAAGCGAGAGGCACATGTTGAATACGGCCCGCCCTCAATCCGTGAAGCTCTTGCAAGTTCTGGAAAAAAGGAAGTGCGCGGCGCTAAGGTGAGAGCCACATTTGAGAACGGCCCGCCCTCAATCCGTTTGCAAGTTCTTAGCACGAACGTGCGCGGCGCTAAGACGAGAACCACATTTTGAAGATGGCCTGCCCTCAATCCGTGAAGCTCTTGCAAGTTTTGAAGAACGAAAGTGCGCGGCGCTAAGGTGAGAGCCACATTTTGAAAACGGCCCGCCCTCAATCCGTTTGCAAGTTTTTAGCACGAACGTGCGCGGCGCCAAGGCGAGAGCCACATTTTGAAAACGGCCCGCCCTCAATCCGTGAAGATCTTGCAAGTCTTTAGAACGAAAGTGCGCGGCCCTGAGGCGAGGGCCCTGAGGCGAAACCACCCGCCCTCAATCTGTGACGCGGTTGCATTTTTTCCAGCGCGTCAGGGTCATACATGGTGAGGAAGTCTCGGGCGGAACGCTCAGCCCGCCCTTTCGCCTGGCCTCGGGGTGCGACAGGGAGGAATGGAGGAGGAGGAGGAGGAGGAGGAGGAGGAGGAGGAGGCGGAGGAGGAGGAGGAGGAGGAGGAGGAGGAGGAGGAGGAGGGGGAGGAGGAGGAGGAGGAGGAGGGCGAGAAGAAAGGCCAGAGGTTCCTTGGATGTCTCGGAGTCTCTTCAGATTTCTCGTGAGAGACTGTCTTGGGGTCCTATGGGGGCGTCTTTGGGGTCTCGTCTTGGAGGTCCCAGAGGTCTCGAGTTGCCTCTTGGGTGCCTTGAGAGATCCTCTTGGGAGGGCGGGGTTCTCAAGTGGCGGTTTGGGGGCGCGTGCCTCGGCAGTCTATTTCATTTTGCACTGTCGCCTCGGCGCCGCGCACATTTTTTTCAGACATGACGTTCTCGCCTCGGCGCCGAGCACATTTCCTTTTCAGCATCCTGATAGCGATTAGAGCCCCGTCGGGACTGCTCGCCGGGGCTGGTCAAGGACCGTCGGGACTGCTCGTGCAGGACCCTCGGGAGGGCTCACGCAGGCCCGTCGGGACTGCTCGCGCAGGACCTTCGGGGCTGGTCAAGGACCGTGGGAACTGCTCGTGCATGACCTTCGGGAGGTCTCTCGCAGCCATTAGCGGCCTACTGCAGCAGTACTACAGGACTACAGTACGTCGGTGTTACTGCAATGTTGCAGTGCCAGAGTATTAATGAATTATTATTGCATCCAGTATTCGGGATTCGAGGACTACTTCAGTACTAGAGTACTAGTTCTCCAGCGCTGCTGCAGTATGACTACAGTACTAAAAGTACGACTGCGACTACAGTGGTGCATCATCAGAATTGCGGTACGGCAGTATTACTACCGCACTAGAGTTTTTTTGCCCGGGACAGAAAACCTGGGCGACACAACCCGAAGGGAGGTGCCCAAGGTGCCTGCATGAATTCACATGCAGTCGGACCTCGCAAAACGAACGGCGGCACAGACCCGCCCCAGGCGTTATCTGCGCCGCCGTTGCGAGGTGCCTCGAGATGCCACCCCGAGACACGGCCACCGGCACCACCTCCACTTGGCCGCCGGCCTCAAGCAGCGGAGGCCCCGCTGCCCAAGGACGTAAGTTCCCGCGCCCCCCACGTCGGGGGACCCCTTCGAGTAACCCCATCGGGCCTCTCAGCGGTGGTACGGCGGGCCCGCACCTACTGTGGCTGGCCAACCACAGGGCAAGAGTCTCTCCCACAGCCCCGTCGAGCTGTGGTGACGATCGGGCTGCCAACCCGCCTGTTTTCCTGGGATGCCACGAGGGCACCCAGCGGCACAGGTGCCACTACCGCACCAGAGTACAACATATACTACGGTACTAAGAGTACGACTGCTACAGCCAGTATTAGGGCACTACTGTTGCTACAGTATTGGGATGCTGCTACGACCACTGTACTACTACAGCGCTATTACCTTCGCTGCAGTGCTGGGAATACTACAACTACATACATAACGATTCATACTCTAGCATCGAAGGTATAGGATGCGACTGCAGTGATAGAGTGCTATCCTACCAGAGTATCCCCGTTCAAATGCTACAACCAGTTTTCGGCAGCTGCTGTTGTTACACTACTGCAGTGCAGCGAGTTCCATAGAGCACAGGCAGTCGTATTGCTACTGCAGTAATGCTACTACAGTACTGCCGCACTACAGTGCCACTGCTACAACCAGTACTAGAGTACTCGTACTACAATGCTAGAGGATTACTACTAGTACTACTGCAGTCCCACGGCGTACTACAGCACTGCTACTGCAGTCAGTACTCGAGTACGGGTGCTACTACAATGCGAGAGTACTTCTCGTATTTCTACTACGACTACCACAATCTTACTACAGTGCTACCACTGCAGTGCTAGAGTATTACTACTATCACAATACCACTGCAACAAGGGTACGGCCGTGTTTGAGTGGCACTACATTGTTCGCGTATTATCACAGTCGAATGCGAGTGTCGTGCTCCTACACCCATCACTACAATCAGTACTACTACGACTACAATACCACAGCAATGCTTTATACAGGAGACCAGCCCCAATTATAATCCTTTTAGGGCTATAGGGCTGTAGTGCTATGGGGCTGTGGGGCTATAGGGCTATATTACCATAGGGATATAGGGCTATAGGGCAATCTGGCTATAGGGCTATCGGGCTACAGGGCTATAAGGTAGCGCTAGAAGGCTATGGGGCTATAGGGCTATAGGGCTATAGGGCTATCGGGCTATCGGGCGATAGGGCTATAAGGCTATCGGGCTATGGGGCTATAGGGCTATAGGGCTATAGGGCTATTGGGCTATAGGGCAATAGGGCTATAGGGCTACAGGGCTATAGGGCCGTAGGGCTGTAGGGCTATGGGGCTGTTGGGCTATAGGGCTATAGGGTACCCTGGCACCCTGGCACCCAGGCATCTGGGCACCTGGGCACCAGGGCAACCATGCACCTGGGTATCCGGGCACCCGGGCAACCGGGTACCGCAGAAACCGGCGGCGAACCTCACCCTTGCACCCGGGCACCCGGGCACCTGGGCACCCGGGCGTGCCGCCGAAATCGACGCCACAGCTAACCTAACCATGTGAATCCGCTAGGACCCCTAAAGAGGCAAGCTCTGATTGGGGAATTACGACTACGATAGAACATTCGTAAGACAGTGCT